ATTATTATTATTATTATTATTATTATTATTATTATTATTATTATTATTATTATTATTATTATTATTATTATTATTATTATTATTATTATTATTATTATTATTATTATTATTATTATTATTATTATTATTATTATTATTATTATGAATAGAAATATAACTTAGATCAGTAACTTCCTAATCTGCCGAATACATAAATGAAAGATTGACATAAAAATTAGTTGCGAAGGTTTTCGAAACTGAATTAGATTTCGAAATTCCTGCAAACATAGCTAAAAGTGATACTATTATTATTTGTTTTTTTGATTTTATGCCATGTTAAAGGTATGCGTGTACAATCGAACTGTATCGAAAGTGGATGATTTCCTGGCGAATGAGGGAAAGGGTCTTCGGGTTCTCGGAGTGCATAGTTTGTCGGAATTAGCCGAGTAAGTATCCGGTCTCAAAGAAATATTTTCGAAATTAGTTATAATTTGGATAATAAACTAAGACTGTGGATGTGAAAAGTAGAAGTTATTCTACTTGTTGCTCTGCTTTTGAGGCGTATTTTAAATTTCTTTACGTCAGAGTTCTGAAGAAACCACGACGTATACTATTGATGGTAAAAGCGGGACAAGCAGTGGATGCAATGATTTCCAGCATCTTACCTTTTTTGGACAAGAATGACATAATTATTGATGGCGGAAATAGTGAATATACAGATACAGCTGTAAGTTTTCACATTTTACCTGTTTATAATATATCTTTTCTAGGATAACTAATATACTTCATAAAAAGGTTGGTAAAACTCTGATCTGTCTTAACCGCGAAAAACAAAAAGTTTGTGTGAACAGTAAGTAGTACAGGACTTATATGACTCGAATACATTTACTTTAATGAATTTCATATTGTTACTTTAGAGTTGAAAATGAAATTTTTCGAACATCATTATTTTTGCAGCGACGTTGCACCGAACTCAAAGAGAAGGGTATTTGTTTCGTAGGTTGTGGTGTAAGTGGTGGTGAGGAAGGTACTGTTTTGAGATTTACAGTTTCACGTTCCACGATGTGAGGTTTGCTGAGATTACTTTTGCTCATGACTGAAACGGCTGGACAAGATAGTAGAAAGGAAGATTGATTCACTTCTGCCATAATTTCTTGTACTTTAGTCTCTATTTCGTGTAACTCTTGTAAGAAAAGATTTTGAACCCATACATTTGACTAAATGGATGAAGGAGGTTGTGCTAGTTGCTATTTATATGCTTAAAATTCAGCTGTTTCCAGGAGCACGTCATGGTCCATCATTGATGCCAGGTGGTTCACCCGAAGCCTGGCCATATATAAAAGATATATTTCAAGCAATAGCAGCCAAAGTTGACAACGAACCTTGTTGCAATTGGGTAAAATTATCTCACTTGCACTCCTATGCAAGCCAAGGTGCAGTTGCAACATAGGTATATCTGCGATTCGCATTTAACATTCCCATATTTTCAGGTTGGTGAAAATGGTGCTGGACATTTCGTGAAAATGGTTCATAATGGAATCGAATACGGTGATATGCAATTGATTGCTGAGGCTTATAGTCTACTGAAAGACGGAGCCGATTTGACACATGATGAAATGGCAGAGGTAGGCCAAAATTTTCGGTTTGTGACTCTGTCTAAATATATTTTGGCTTTTGTAGCATTCATTATTACTGACTGTTCTAATAAACCCCCTTCCTGACTTAGTTACACTTGATGTTTTGTCGATGCTGCCTTATATTACTGTGATTTGAATGGGTGCTTCAATCGTTTCTTGTTTTAATGCGATGTAGAATTTTTTAGTTTCGCAGTGTTTGATCAATAGTTATTTGGAGTAAATCTAAACTTGGGTTTTTTCGACGCTTATTTCCTTGTGAGGGTTTTTGAGATTACATTCTTGGTGACGCCTCCTTCTTTTACTCATGCTATAATGGCATGATTAAAAATCATTATGGGTGCCATATATCAAAAATATATCATTCTGCTTATCGATTTCACTGGTTATATCTGTATATATTGCACAATTCTGGTCCAACTCTTCGAAAAAACTTTCAACAGCATTACTGTTTGTTGTATTATGGCATGAAAATACACTCGTCAAATTCTTGTTCAAATATACAATCGATGCGAAAGCGATTACCGAAAAGTAGAATAAGGAGAATCCAGTTTTGATAACTGAATGGAATTTTGCTGTGGCTGGGCTATTGAAGAAACACATCAAGATCCTCTATTACATCGCCTAATTCGTGATAAAAGAATCCACTATTATCAAAATTCTCTTCCAAAGCTGATAAGGTCAGCATTTTGAGAAGAGGATCGTGGTTCGCATTACAATATCATCTGAAACTTGCAATGCACTGAGGAAGGAAGCAGTTTTTGATACCGACCTGGAGAATTTGTTTCCGTATAATTGGAAGTAATTTTGAATTACCAGTCAACTTTGATCGTATACTGCAATTGTTAAAACTGATGCCAATAATTACAACGAATCAATTCCACCATTTTTCGCTGGAAATAGTTCCATACGAGTCAACCAGTAAGTCTGCTGACAGCTCATCTCGACTACCTCATGAAAAATTCAATTTAAATCCTTTGTTTGAAGACTCAGAATCACTTCGATACGTTGAATTGAAAAAAGGTTTAATGGAACATCAGGAATTGTAGGATTTAAGGAGACATATCTTGACTTTACGTCCAAGTCCGGGAAATTGAGAATATTTGTCGCATTATAGTGTCAAAAAGGATTGTCAGCCGAGAACAACAAAATGAACGAAATTCAAGTTGGATTGTTTATGAAAATGTTCCATCTAATTAAATGGTTTTACTTGTTTAGAGTGAGAGAGAAGAAACGAAGTGTTTTTAGCAACCGAATATAAGTGAAGATATCAGAGCCCCGTATAAATGAAGCACATTATTGTCGTTTATCTGCCAGATTTGACCGCACTGGATCGAATTTTGAAGACGATTCTCTATTTCGGAATGAAAAATTATCTACAGTGATTGAATATGTCGTTAATGGTACTACTGGCTTGAATCAACCTTCATTTTTTTTTGACCCATTTAAGAGCTTCTGGTTTGTGACCAGAAGCTCTTAAATTACTACGGAAAGTTAGTTACTACGGAAAGTAACTCAGTTCTACTGAAAGTGATACATTCCTGTTCCCCTCCTTATCATCTTGGTGCTGTGGCTTCAGCAAATGGTCTCTTACTTCGAAGATTTAGTGTTGAAGGATGATTGCGGGAAAAATCAGAGTCATAAAATCATAAAGTATGTTCTCACATTTCCGTTATATAACATAGCTGAAGGTTACAGTGTTTGTTGTTTTAGATCCTCGTTATTCAGTGTGAAAGAAAACGTTATTGTAGACAGCTTTATGTTGTTATAGGTTTATGTTTCCTCGAAAGATTGTTCACTAGCACTAAAAGAGTTAAAAATTTTATTATGGAAGAAGCGTATCTGGTATTATCTTTAAAAAGTTAAGCGAGAAATTTAAGCAGATATGATTGCTGAAATTAAAGGGCCTTACAAATGGTCTCAATCGTCAGCACTGCAAATCTTAGATTTATGAAAAACAAAAATTTTTCATAGAAATCAGAATTCAGCGAGTCATAATCGAGTCATACTTTACGACAACAAGAACGATCATTTCTTCTGCTTAAATACGAGACCACTGAGAAATATTTGCATTTAAGCCGTAAATAACTGTTCTGATCATTGATTGCTGCAGTACTAGTACTTTCAATCTTTGTGAATCATAAATCATTTCTCTTATAAAGTAAATTATGGATTAATGATTTGTAATCAGCTGATAGGTATTGCAAATAAAGATGAGGACTGTTGTGGATCAGAAATGAGGTAGAATATATGCAGGAAAAGCTGCAGCAATGAATACGTTATAGTAATCATATAAGCCGTTTTTTATCTGATAAATTTAAATTTGTATTTCCAATCTGTGGTTTACGTAACACATTGTTTGTACGATATCATGCGGATTTTTTAGAAATTTTTTTCAAGTTTTCCAAAGATTATGCTGTCACTGCAAGGAGAGAGGAGCTATTATTTTATTATTATTTAAGGTATTCTCGGAATGGAACAAAGGCGCATTGGATTCATATCTAATAGAAATAACAAGTCATATTCTTAAGTTCAAAGATGAAAATAAGCAGACTTTATTGCCAAATATTAGAGATACAGCGGGGCAGGTATTTCATTTTTCTTCAGATTTTTGAGGACAGTTTTACTCGTAAAAGTAATTACTTTTTTTTATCCATATTTGGTCCAGAGCAGCGGTGTACTCATTGCAGTACTAAACTACCTGATATTATGATGTGAAGTTGAACAAATTTAAAACTGTAAAAAGTACTGGAGTTGTAATTCTTGTCATTCATTACCTTCGTAAATGTTATACGTAACCCAGTTAACAGTCCTCAATTTAGGTCTGTCAATATGCTACTAAAAGTATTCAATTGCAACTGCGAAATTTACATCAAAATGAGAAAATGTACAGATGGAAATAATTACTTTCAGAAAGGGACTGGCAAATGGACGGGGATCGTTGCTTTAAACTATGGAATACCACTTACGCTGATTGGTTAGTTCCAATTATCTTCAGTAAGGAACTTTTGTATTAAGTATTTTCTATTGCTGTGAAAGTTGTACTTTTGACCAAATCTTTGATGTGTGCTCCCGAGATTCTATATATTCTTGTTCTGGAATTTATATCTTAACGCGAAGTACGAAGTACTCTCTTTTATAGTAGAGGGTAGTACAAAGTAATCGCTACTATAGTAGGAGTATTTTGTGTTTAACGTCTAGACATAAATTTTGTTAAAATAAGCCTGCCAAATAATTCAGATATCTAACGTTTCATGTATTTATCACGCTTTCCAATTTTTATAAATGAGGAATGGGCTTTCCTACAGGTGAAGCTGTATTTGCCCGCTGCTTATCGTCTTTGAAGGATGATCGAGTTGCGGCAGCCAAAGTTTTGCCCGGACCTAGTCCTGATAAAGCTGGCATTGTTGGTGACAGAAGGGCCTTTTGTGAGCACATTAGGAAGGTACGTGAAATTAGTTCAAAGGCGCAGTTGTTTTATGTCTACAGTTTAAAGAATGATCAGTTATCCAGGCTTTGTATGCATCGAAAATCATAAGCTATGCACAAGGATTCATGCTTCTTGCTGAGGCAAACCGTGTCTTCAAATGGAATTTGAATTTCGGAGCAATTGCACTGATGTGGCGTGGCGGGTGCATTATTCGTTCGCGTTTTTTGGGTGAAATAAAGAAAGCTTACGATACGAATCCCAAACTCAGTAATCTGTTAATGGATAGTTTCTTTTTAAATGCTATCAGGAAATGCCAGGTTGGTTGCTTTTACAACTGAAATAATAATGTGTTTTCTAAGATTTCGAAAGAAGCTTCTAAATTATGAAAAAGCTTTGGGCTTGAGGAAGTAAAGTATATCGGATCTCTCAAATATATTGCTGTACTTGGTTTAAAGAAGAGTCATCTTTTATGCCCTGGTATGAAAAATAGTTCTCTCTTATGGGCAAATATACCAATTCAATAAATAGTAATCATTTCTTACAAAATATTCGGGTTTGGTTTAGTTGTGAGTTCGTTTTACATCCAAACCAGCTCAAGGCTGAACCCAGATTTTCTAACAGAAGAGTGATTCTACACATTGCCAACCATGTACATTATTTAATGTGGAGCGAAATTTTTCAATCTAGGAATCGTGGCGTATTATTAGTGCCGCTGGAATTTTACTTGGTATACCAACACCAGCCTTTTCAACTGCGCTTGCATTTTATGATGGTTTCCGTTGCGAAATATTGCCAGCAAATCTTATTCAGGTAGGATGAAATTCGTTTCCCCTTCGCTGTTGAAATCTTTTCCATTTTAACTGCGAAATTTTCTAGGCCCAGCGTGACTATTTCGGTGCTCATATGTACGAATTGATGGATAAACCAGGTACATTCTTACATACAAATTGGACTGGCACTGGTGGTAACGTTACTTCCACGGCATATATTCAATGAAACAATCATGAAAGATAACGATCATGTCACCGACTTCGTACCTCATTACTTTTTTCATTTTAAAACAAGAGTTGACGAAGATTCGTGGTGCTCTCACTGATTTTAAGCTTCCAAAAATGGGATAAACCTTAACGAGAGGTGAAAGTGCATTTTTCACCAAAAAAATAACATTTTTGGGCTTTGATGGTGTTAGTGGTTGCAAGTTGTTTTATCCATGTTTTTATTTTATTCATTCATGGTTGTTTTATTCATGTGTGATGTTTCTTACTGGTATATCTTACTATAGTTCTTACTGATTTTTTCATGTCTGTTTGTCCCTCTGTCATCTTGCCATCACATATCATTTTCTCAAAATCGAATAAATAGAGCATGATCCGAAGCTTTGCTACTCATAGAATAAGACCGAAAAAAAACCAAGTTCGAGTAAACTGGAAGTTTTACAAGAAAAAAAGTTATCTTAGTGGGGGATAAGACCTATACTATTTCATCTAAAGGCGTTGTCCTCAAAATAAATTTCATTTCCTTGGATTTCTTACCTTTCATGGGCCCTATCAAATCAGTTTTTGATTTCATTAAAGACTACGTTTTTTTCTATGTTCTAGTAAAAAAAAACCGTTTCCCCTGTGAATGATTTAGCTGCTTACTAAATCGTATGACAAGAAATATCACGGCATTTAATACATGCATCACCTCTGACAGATGCAATACTAATATTAGCATTACCTGTAATAATTTAAAGTACAGAATATTATATGCATTATGTAATTGTTTATCTAAGTTTGAGTAGATCAGATTGAGTTCGAGTTTGAGTTTGAGTAGATCTGTTAGATTCGGTATTTAAATGTGCATCTAATATTTGAAATAGATGTGTAAAAATCTGAACAGAATCCAAGCACGGTGATGACATTAAAAATTGTTTTTGAAATGAGTCAAGCAGATGATGCGATGAATTCGGTTGGCTAAAGGGAATCTCCACGTCTATTCTACTGGTGGAATGCTATAGAAATATTAACGGTGGATTCTAAACAGAATGACAGATTAATTTATTAGTAAAACAGCCATCTTGACGGATTTGATTTTTGCTGGGAAGCATTCATCAGTCCTAGCATACGACTCTAAAAATTAGTTTCATGTGGATTGAATATGAAGTTTGACAGAAGTATCACAGTAAGATAAATGATTTTATCCTGGGATGAAGTCCTGATTTCTATCCTGAGCTCACCTTACTGCTGACCGTCCTTCTAATTAAGTGCAATACATTGGATTGGCGATCTTAGTGGGAAGACATGTCGTCAGAAACAATCTTGTTATTTAGTCAGATCACTCTGCATCACAGTAATCGTTTTCCTATCTGGCATTTTGTAGCGAGGCTTTCATCTCGCTAATGACATGTAGTCGAGAAGTGGCAGCAAGGATTTCAGGACGGTCCCCTGACTCTTTACTAGTTAATGTTGTATTTTTGTTGAGGTGTATTATCTATTCGTCGGCCGATGGCAGGCAGTAACCAATTTGCACCCGACCCGAGTGATGGCATTCTTGTCCCTCTGTTGGTTGGCTATGTCTGTGTGTGTGCATATGTATTGGTGTGTGTACGTTTGTGTATGTATGTGTGTGTGTCAGTGTGTCATTTACTTGCTTTGCTTGCTTGGATTTGATCGTATTGTCCCACACAACATGTCTTCTTTATGTTCATCTGGTGGCCATGTGGTGTTGTTGGTACACGTATATATTATGTATGTTCCTCCTCGTACCTTATGTCCCCCTCCCCCCTCCTTGCATCCCGGCTATTCCTTTCTCTTTCCTAAGATTGCTATGCTTAAATGTCGCCGCATCGAAAGTAATCGGCAAAAAAGAATTACAAAATACGAATACTTTTCACTACCTATGAGTCGATAATTCAGTTCCAATTTGTTTAAGCATTCGAAAATACTATGGTCCCTATGAGAGATGCAGCAATTGTCGCCTTAAAAAACTAATCAAATGTGATAAAATTCTACCAGCGATAAGGAACGCTGACTTACCAGAACTGCTGAACTCCGAGTTTTTCCTTCAACAAGATAAGCAGCTCTTACAAAAGTCATTGTTATTCGAGATTCTGCCGTTCTTCGAGAGACTTGTTTACACTCTACATGTGTGGCACAAGGACAATAAATTGTTAGGCATCTGATGAAAGGTCAATTTCGAGGAAAAGAAAACAGGAATGGAGGAATATTGATACGCATGGATTATGAACATAAACTGATAGTATTTAATAATGTAAATGGTCATTGAAAGCAGATTATTGCATGTTTTTTAAACTCATAAAATGAATGATAATGGTACCCCTCTCACCACTCTTAAGATTCGTCACAGCTCATTGGAGAAGGTGCATGGCTTGCAGTGATGGGGAATCATTTCCTGATACCAATGGCAATATTATTAAATCATTGAATTAAACTTTCCTTCATCTTTTTAACATTCCTACTTGCACCACTGCAAATAATTTGTTTACTGGTAGTTATGTGACGAATCTTGGCTAATTTATTCTAATGCTCTCCATATGAAAAAATCCCCACATATGTGAAGTGGGAAGTGGAGCCTTAGTAGATAACGGTGCAGGATTGGTGGCACACTACGTACGCTTCCGATAGTAGTGAAAACAATGAAAGTGACCGAAAGCAAATCGGAAAAAGAGAACCAGCAATGCATTTTGCAAAATAAGTTCGGAATGACCGGGAAAAAAGTACGCTACAATAGGATAGGACAGGTCCTACTTGTTAATATGTTTCTTGGAACAACAGTGGAAGTTTTCTACACAGCTTTTAAATCTCAGATCTTCCTTTTCCAGTATAGCGGCGCTGGAAGGAAACTTACAAACATAAATAAAACGATTGGTTGTAAGAAAAAAGCTAAAATTAAGCAAACGACTTCGATTATACAGCGACTCTCGAAATAGATTTTTCATAGACTCCAAGCATTGGTTAACAAGCTTTTCAATTTGCTTGATAAATTCCACTAACTTCATTACTAACAGCATCCCAGTTTTACCAAATTATATTGAGAAATTTCGGCTGACATAATTTCATTCCAACAATCAAAGAGACCGATCATCAGTAACACATCAGCTGAATGTAACTGTGCATAATAATGTTTGATTCCTGCATATTTATCAGCAATTATCATGAGATTAGAAAGTGTATGTTTTTTACCATGTTAAGAGGCGTTCTGTTCTCACAATAGATATAACTGGAAAAATATATTGCAAAACTTCAAATTAAAACAAGACTTACTGTTTTGTGATGCAATAACGTGATGAGGTGTAGTCTAGGAAACCAAGCAGCAGAGCCATTCATAATGAATACGCTGAGAATCACTGTATAAATTGCTAGCCGCTAGACGGCAGCAAAACTAAAGACAAGAGTCTCCTCTTTTCCGTTAATAAGAAGCATGGTGGGATATTCCTGATGGTTAGTATCTCAACATTCCCTACTGGTGCTCTGCGGGGCTTCCGGCGATAAAAAGAGCAAGTAGTGCATACATATGACAGCTCCATAGACGAATAAGGCCTCACATGGTCATGTCAGAGCCTGAGGTTTGTGAGGCTTAGATAGTTCTGTTAAAAGTAAGATTAAGTCTGGGAAGACTTGACTGTTTCCTATGCATGAAAACAGAAAGAGCCTATGGCTACTGTTCATTACTCAATTGGTGAATATAAGAAGATGCTTACAACGACAACCGCTTACGTACAGGTCCTGTACACCTCACATATGCATATATGCATATAGCTGCCACATCTCTGTTATCGTAGAATGAGTCCTGATAGATTATAAGCTGCAGTATCATTTCTGAAGTAAGGAATGCGAACGATCCAAGCTGATTCGAATGATATCGCAACTAACTTCTGGTTCTTCTGTTATTCTTTAAGGAAACTTAAAGGTAGTCCCTTGGTTGTTGCTGTAATTGCCGGAGGTCGTTGTCTGTCTTAATTCAACAGAAGAGAAGCAGTCAGTAAATGGGTCACATCTTCACGTTACTACCTTCACGTAAGCTAACCACGCAACTGTCCCCTATAATGAATTACATTATTAAACTACACGTTGCATCAGCATTTCGCTAATAATGAGCACGCACTCTGCTGCACAACGCGGCGATTTGTTTACAGCTATTTAGCTGCCGGTGTACGGTGTGTGCGCGTGTGTGTGTGTGTGTGTCTGTCTGTATGTCTGTGTGTGCCTGTATGTGTGTCTATCTGCGCGTATGTGTGGGCGGTGTGCGTAAATGGGTGAGTATGGGAGTGCATGCGCGGATATATGATGTGACTATAGTAAGCAGGAAATAGAAAAGGGTCATTTTGCATTCCTGTCCAGTTGAGGGGTGTATCTATGTATCTACTCTTCACTCATTCGTAAATAATTTGATTTAGCAATCTATTAGAGACATGCAGTATGTTAATGGCTTCCTTCAATGTTATAATTACTGGTCATCCGAATTGGTCATCTTTCAGCGGAAAGAACGCCCTTCCTTTTTACCTGGAAATACAGTAGTATTAATCCCTATGAAGTGCTTACCTTATTAGCGAAAGTAATCCTTCCAAGCTTCCTAAAATATTTTTAAAAGATCAATAAGTGACGTATAGTCCGCACTTCGGTGAAAGCATTTTTTGATCAGGGAGGCGTGACGTGTGGCTTACGAATTTCTCCTTTTGTCTGTGACTTGAACATATTGTGGTGCCAATAATTAATATTCGCCACTTTCATCAAGCTTTTATAACTAACACTTCACATCCTCTTACTCGATATTGGCTGATTTCTGATGACCACCAGTAACGACCCTTTTGATGTGTTATCTCGTTGCTGATATGCGTCGACCATCTTACGTCGTCCCTACCCTTCTATCAGTATATAAAACGTGCTTGTTCCACCAATCATTTTCTTATTAAAAAGGAACGAGGACAAGATGACTTCTAGCGAAGTTGCCACCAAATACAGATAATTTGAATTGGTTTACGAAGGTTACCATTTCATGAATTGGACAAAATTGTCAACTGGCTCCATCCTCACTTGTAGTGGTGCACTTGACGTCCATTACGTCAAGTCAGAGTCAACCTCAAATAATGTGATGACATTTCATTCCCATTCTCGTATCACCGACGGCAATACAACATATAGACGATCGTTAAAAAGTGTCCAGTTGTCAGGAAGCTCCCCAAATACCGTGTGACGTGATAGAATCAGATTTTTGACCTGTTGTCCGCTGTACGTTTAAAAATACGTTAACAGCATTGAACGCTAGCCGGTAGAGTAAAATTAATGTGTCAAAGCTTTCCTCCTTCTTCTCTTCTACCTTTCTCTGTTTTCGCTCCCTTCCTTCACTTATACATTATGGAATGTTGGCATATGCAAAATGGTTTTTTGTGCGAAAGTATCGGAGAATTCGACGTTTTTCGATGGTACTACGTCGAGCGCACTTTTTTGATTTATTGCAAACGCTGATGATAAGTGCTACCGTAGGACAAAGGAAAGAGTGAGCTGAGCAGAGAATGGTAGTGGGATGGTTAGGATGGCGACGATGACGACGTTGACACGGACACATTTGCTATGTCTTCCTTGCATGGATGTGTTATGGAGAGGCGTAGTGAGACAGATGGATGCTAGCAATAGCTGTAGTAGTATAAGATCGAGCAACTACCCTGGCTGAAGCAAAAACTTGACTAAAAATATCGACGTCCCCTCCGTTCATAGTGATCTAATTTATAAGGATTAATTTGTACTCATGCTGGGGATGCTTTCTTGGTTCTTTTTTAGCATGGGACAGAAAGAGAAATGTAGTGGTTGTGGTGTCATTGGTGAAGTGTGTAAGATTTCATTGGTTCTTATTTCAGATTTAGTTTCTTAGCAAGGGGGCGCCGCTGTGTGGAAAGCTACGATAGGGTGTTATTGGATGGTGCGGAAGTATATCCGAGGGTGAAACATCCAATCTGTAAGTGTCATCAAATTATTACACCGTTGAGGCACTCTAAGATCGGTGGCAGGCAACAGCAAGTAGCTCCTGGCAATTTATATGAGACGGTATGCGGCTATGGGGACGATGACTGTCGTCAGCTGTCGTCCCGATGGGCTACCGAACCCCACCCATGAGAGCACATAATGTATATCAGCCACCATCAGGCCGCTCCTCTTCTTCCTGTCCTTTTCGTATTGCCCCCCTCTATCTTCCATCATTTCCACTGCATCATTTCTGATTGGAACAGAATAGCACAGAAGAAATCCGTACTGCTAAAAAGCTAACTTCTTGACTTGTTTGTTATTGTCATTATTGTCGTGATCGCTATCGATGTCCAAGATAATCCAATCAAGCAGCTCTTCTCCTTAGCGTTACTTCCTGGTTCCTCTTCTTATCATATCTTCATCAAGTTATTGTATGCTTCTCACTGCTCAGAACACTACTATCAGTTTGCTTATTTCATAACCTCTTTTTAACCTCTTCACTATTTCTCTCACTACCACTTATTCAATGAAAAGATAGCCAAGCAGAAAGATTCTGGATACATCCATCCGCAAACATTCCAGAAAAATGCATTGGTCGTGGAGTGCTCGAGCTCCTTGATAACGTTTTAACAATCTGAGCTCTGTTGTCCGAGTAAAATTGTTTTTGCTGATCATAGCATATTTCCGCTCGGTTTCATCTTTCATGCACATGATAAATTCTCTTTGAAGCTACTGTTCCCCAGAGTTTCGCATGTCTATGCGTTTGGATTAGAGTTCTATAATTGATTTCTTAATATCACTCTGGTTTAAATTCCATCACATTGACATTCTCCTTCGTGCTTGACGCTGAAAACGTTTTTGCATGTTTGGATTGCAGTTTTTGCTTTTAAATTTCAAGTTTGAATGGGAAATTATATAGAAATATCTGTGGATTGGTTTATTAGATTTATACCCATTCCTGAATAGGAACATATGACACTGCATTTTGCAAACCACACTATCTCTTGACTTGATGATATCACTGTAAGGATGATCTATGAGACAAGCAAAGTTCATTTTGCGTAGGAGTTTTCGAGGGCTATTTTCATCCATCGAAAATGTAGTAATAAGTAGGCGGGCACCAGTACTCGGGAGAAACCAAGATAAGGATGTTATGGGATGTATGTTCTGTGGAAATACTCATCTCATTGGGTGAACGAACCGATAGATGATATCTTTCTGACGGCTTTGCGTAGAGGCCATGTACCGACACCATTTGGACCATTTGTCTCATTTAGTGCACTATTCACATATATATATATATATATATATATATA